ACCAATACGTGGAATTTTTATTTTTAAAATTTACTGTAAAATTTATCAAAAAAAATATTTTTAAAAAATTTTCTAAGTAAAAATGAAATAACTTTTATTGATTATTACAAAAATTATAGTGTAAAATTATAAAAAAACAGAAACCCACTTATTTTTCCCTTTCCACTTACTCGTTGCTCTCATTTTTAATATATATTTTTTAAATGTTACACAGACACGTATATCAGTGTTAGCACTTGGCCGTTTGGCCGGGGTTGGCCATTTGGCCGTTTGGCCAGTTTGGCCGGCCAAACTGGCCAAAAAAATCTTTGGCCGCGGCCAAATGCCAATACAGCCTTAATAAAGTATTAGTATTTTGTTTTTTGGCCAAAATTTGGCTGGGGTTGGCCATTGGCCGTTTTGCCATTTTGGTCGGCCAAATCGGCCAAAAAAATTCTTGGCCGCGGCCAAATGCCAACACTGACGTATATGATTTATAATTTTAATATTACGCAGATGTGTATTTGTTTTATCAAAAACACATTACACAAGCACTTCTAAAAATATTTCCTGTATTACGTTTTAACTTAATCTTTATATTAAAAATAGTAACTTTTTTTTACACAAATATGTTTATAACTTTGTTTACATATTTTATTAGATTTTTTTTAATGTGAAAAATGTAAAATATATATTATATTATATATATATTAAAAAAATCTATCCTGCTACACAAATATATATCTGATGTCTATTAATAATTTAATATTTTGCTATGCAAATTATATCTGACTATTTTAAAATTATGTTATCAAATAAGCAATAATAAATCTCATATAGGAAAAAATTTTTATATGTTGGCTAAGCAAACTCAAAATTTACATTTATATATATTGTTCGGGTCCTGGTAAATTAGCTTTATCAAATTTTGACCAACTATCCATATACTCATAGAGATAAACATTTTTCTTGATAAATATCTCTAATATTTTCACAGGGATATGATTTTTTGTAATCTTAAATTTTTCAGGATACACAAAACATCTATTTTTATCAATTCATCAAAGATGATTAGGATCAGCACAATCTTGTACTTTGCAATTTTTTCACAAACCAAAATTGGATGCTAATTTATCAAGATCTGATTTTATGAATTGCATACTGTCGATAAATTAGAGTAATCCTAACTTAAATGCCATATATTTTTCCATATTATATGAAATTGTTTTGATTTCATCCTTGCATTCCATTGCACCTATTCTTTGTATAATCATGTAGCTATCAGGACCCTGCTTACTTATAAGATAGGTCACCATTAGGCCTAAGATAAAAATCATATATAAAATTCTTTGCAGATCCTACTATAAAAGAAAATTTTATGTTACATTGTTATGATTTTTTTCCTTTTTAGCTAATTAACCAATAGAATTTAAAAAAAAAGTAAGGTAAAAACTATTAGTAAAACAACAATTTTCTACAGTAACCTTTATTATAAGTAAGCGGGTTCTATGACTATTATAACCTGATAAGTTGTGAAAGATGACAGGAATGTGCATTTCTCCTACTTTTATTTGAAGCTAAAGATTGTATGCACTGTGTGCCGCTTCTCGATATTTATCTGTTATATGGCAGTGATCTCTCACTTTTTCTTCAAGCCTTTCAAATTCTTTTTCACATACCCAGCAATGTTCAGCATTATTATAGATTTCTTCTTCTTCTGGCAATAAAGGAATTATTGGTTTAGATTGCTTATATTCCTCATAAATGGCCATAACTTCCTGAGTTATCTCAATTATAAATCTTTGTGCAGTGTTTAGTCTTACATAAATTTTCTCTGAATATAATTGCCCATCATAATAAACTTTTATATATGCAAATGAACATGGAATATACTCTTGAATTTTCTTAGTTTTAAGTATTGCTTCAAAATCTGCAACAAAGTAATATGGAACTTGCATGCGTCACTTCCAATTTTTAAACTGATAAACATCCTCACCTTTCTTTAAATTTGGCATGCAATTTGCCTGTGGACTATGCTTAATTCCTCAGCATATTGCCATATGCTTTTCATGAATTTCTTGATTATGGTGAAGTGCAAGATACACTATCAGCAGATAAGTGTTGCATATTCATTTCTTGTTCGTTTATTTACTAAACAACTCATATTCTTTATCCAGCAGTAATGTTGCTTTTTTCCATTACTAATGAGAAGTAAATCGATCATTCGCCTACCTGCAGCTATATCATAGTCAGTAACATAAATAGGGTTGAGCTTACCTTGCCATTCACTTATACAGAGAGCTATGGATGGATTCTGTCACTCAAATTTTTGAAGGATTATCTCATCTGCCTGAACTGGAAATTCAATACCTTTAAAGTTCAACATATCTACATACTGACGATATTGGACAATATATTCTGCACTTTATTCTATTAGATGAAGTGTACTTAAAATTGCCCATTTAAATCTATATTTTTAGGATTCACAACTTCTTTCTTTGCAGCTAAATCAGTGGGAAGATCGATATGGCCTGCACTTTCTAAAGGTTGGAATTGTGTAATTTTTATGAAGATACTTTTCATCTGATCAAAGGACCAGTCTGACTTATAATTTTGATATTGATCTATTTTTTCTACTATCCATATTACTGCAAAATTAAATGAATCATCAATATTTATTGCTGAAAGTATTGGTATATTGCAAGTTTTAAATAGTACTCCATATCTAAGAACACAATCATCACCGGGAGTTAATGAAAGGGCTTCATCAAACAATCCTTGCTGATAATCTGTAATATGTTTTAATGTACCAAAGATACCTGTGAATCTTTATAGGTCCTAATTTTTGATACTCATCTCAAATGATTTGTGTGATAACATTTCTATTACTATTAAGTAATTCAATTAGATTATATTTACATGGAATTCCTACTGCAATATCTGCTATAAAGTTTGAATCTGTGATTTCTCCACCTATTCTTACATGATCATGATAGTGAAATTCTATCTCATAATGTAGATTAGAATCTATATCACTAAGTCTTTTAAATTCTGCTTGGAAATTTCTTATTTCTTGAATTTTCACTCTGTACTCTGCAAGCCTGGTATTTAATCATGAATATGGAATTTCTTGTGGTTGCATTCCTTTGAGTATTGCCAAAACTTCACGAACTGTTTGCCTTTCTTAAACTGATCTTGCTTGTCGAGTTGTCATCCTTTTTATATAGGAAAAGGTTTTATTCAATTTATATTTTTGAAATGGAGCAGAAAAAATTCAGATTTTTCATAACCTGTTACTATTCCATGACCTTCAGGTTTTATTTTTGTTAGCTATGAGTATGTGTAGCTCTTTGATTAACTATAAGTATACAAGGGTCTTAATTATTCTGTAACTTGGGTTTTGTTTGCTATAAGTGTGCTTACAAAGCTGTATTTTCTTATGTGTCAGAGGTATAGATTGCCGTTCAGCCTCACATGCCCTTTGTTCAGCCTTTGGTCTCATGGGCATGTTATGCAATCTACTTGCTGACAGGGCTGAAAATTAGCTGAATTGGCTTTTTAAGTCTGAGCTATATTTACTTATATATCAGAGGTGTGGATTGCTTTATTCAGCCTTCAGTTTCACTAGCACATAATAAAATGCAATTTACTTGCTGACAGAATTGTAAACTAGTTGAATTGGCTTTCTGAATGGATTGAGTAGTAATAATCATAGTTTAAAATAGATGCTAAATCTGAATTTGAGAGCATTTTAGCCTCTTTTTATTTTTATATACTTGGTACCGTTAGAATAATTCAAAATTGTTTTAGATTACCTTTTATTTTCATGGCTGAATTTGACTTTGAAGGCTACTAAGCAATATACCTGTATCCTAATAAATCACTTTTTGAAGTGATTCTAGCATGCCTTTTTCTTATTTTTCTTATTACATGTCAAAATGACGCTATAAGGCTATAAACCTTACATACTTTTTTACTATCCTAACTGCTATAGGAAGCTAAGAATAATAGTAGAAGACAAAGGTATGCCTAATTTTGTGTAGCAGGGTTGGCTTACTGAGCAGATTGAAGGGTAGAAAGCAAAGATTAGATTTTATAGTTAAAAACAGCTTTGTGGATGGTTTTTAGAGCATTTTGGCTCTATAGCTGAATGGGTTTAAATGGCTGATTAGTGGGTTATATGGAAAACTTAATGGTGAAACTGTATGGGCTGTAGAACTGCTGTAGAAGTCAAAATATCGGGTACTCCAGAACTGGCAAATTCACATTACTGTTATCTGAGAATTTGGGTTGTATCATTATTTTTAATGGAGATATGATTATTTAGGTAACAGGTCAACTTTTTCTTCGAAAAAGTAGTTTTGTTTCATAATGCTTAGTTTTTATATATATTTGTTATCTTATTTCAAGTTTATGTATGTAAGTAAGCATAATTATATTAAGACAAGATCACATTTATAATAAATTAATAATAAAAAAAAAAATAATATAAAATAATATAATAGAAATTAATGAATCTAAGAGTCTATTCTTATTGAATGCAGTCCAGTGATCTTGGTAAGTGCAGTCCAATAAAAATGACATGTGACAAATAAATAGACCAGTTTAAACCTTTCCTAATATGGTAATATTTGGATTATGCATGTTCATGCATATTATTTGTCACTAATGCAAAAATTACCTTCTTGGCCCTCCTCGTGTTACTTTCTTGACCCAATCAAAATATGCATGATTATGTATGACAAAAATATTTTTTTCTTGACCTGAAATGTGATAAAAAATTATGTGATAAGTAGCACAGTATTAGTGATAACTGCGTTACATAAATAATATGTGTTACATTTTATTATATGACGCGACTCTTGACTTTTTCTTTTTACACAATTTTATATAATACAATGAATAATAGCAACTTTGAAAATTTTATTGAATATAATACTGCTGAAAATTCTGTTAATGTTCCATTTGGTCGGACTGCAGAATATTATCTAAAAAATCATCCTTTGCTTAAAAATATTCGTTTAAAAAGTCAAAGTCAAAAGAAAACTCCTGAATTAGTTAAAGAAGGAATTATCACAATTGAACGTGTTGAAGGAGCTGTTGATTTTATTGAATGGCGAACAAAGACTGGTCAAACAAAATCAACTAACCGGATTGATGATATAGTTAAATTAACAGAAAAGGGAGAGGAACTAGTTAAACAAATTGAAGCAGGAGTAAAAAAAGATAAACTATGCTGGTCTTGGGTAATGTATTGTGCTGAAGATGGTAATTCTTGTCAATATGAATGTGGTGGAATTGGTAAATGCATAGAAGGTTGTCAAAATGAAGCATTACCAAATAATCTAAAAAACTATAATGATATGCATTTGTGCAAAGTACGCATCATTTCAGAAGTATATTTATCTAAAATTGATCGTCCATGTCCTCTTAAAATAAAAGTTTTAAATAGCCATTTACCATCCAATGTTCTTACAACACATACACCACAAATTAACCGGTTGAGTTTAACTAGGCAAGTACGTGATAATATTATAATAAACCGTAGAGCAGACCATAAAACAACAAAAAATATTAAAGCAAAAATGTTGGCTTCTTACAATGGTGCTAACGAAGAAGATTTGCGAGAAGCATTACGTAATCAAAAGGAATTATGTGAGGATAAAAAATTGTATAGGTTTTTGGTGCGTGATGATAGACAAACTAAAGAAAATGCAGGACCATTGACAATCTTGCACTATTTAGTTAACGAAATACTTAAACCAAAGGGAAATGTTCTTTATTATCAACAACCCAATTTATCATCATCAGAAACGAGTTCAGAACGTTTTTATCAATTAACATTATCAAATCAATTATGGTTAAAAAATGCTCAAAGGTATGGAAAATACTGTATTGGAGTTGATAGCAAGTATGACTTAAATAGTGATCTCTCACCAGTACTTGCAGTTGTATCCGAAAATGATGCTGGATTTGGTACACCATTAGTATTTGGTAAGAAAAAAAATTGAAATTTTACTTTAAATTTGTGGATAATTTATTTATGTATTTATTTAGGATTATCTAATAAAGAAAATAACTGGACAACTAGTATTGCGTTGAAATTATTGAAAAATAATATATTATGCAATGATTCAAATTGTGAACATAAATGGTATTATGAAGATTTGCCAAATGAAAAAGGTTTTCAAAGGATTACAGAATGTGCCAAAAATCACAATTGGATTCTGTTGGTAATGATAGATAAACATCGACCAACTAAAATAGCCACCGAAAATGTGGTAGACCGCACAATTTTGTGTTGGTTTCATATCATGCAGACATTCGGTGAAAACCTGAATAATTGGAAAGTACCATGGCCATTAAGGTATACACGTTTTTATTCTAAGAATTTATGTTATAATTTATTTATATTTATAAATTTATTTTTATAGATACCCAATAGCATTGGCATTTAAAATAGTTGGTAGAAGTAGATCTATAGAGTTAGCTAAAGAATTAGGACCATTATATTCAGAATTTATTAATTCGCTGGATATTACACAGGAATTAAAAAACAGGACCCCGGATATCTCCAAAACAGGTCATAAGTCACACTTTCGGCAGATTGGCCCATTTTTCAGGGGCTCAAAAAATCGTTTTTTGTAAATATCTCGGCATCCAGTGGTCCAATTTTGATGAACTTTTTTTTAAATTGTAGAGCTAAATGAGGGCTACAAAATAAAAAAAAGTTCATTAAAATTGAATTACTGGATGCTGAGATATTTACAAAAAACGATTTTTTGAGTTTCAGCAAAAAGGGGTGTTTTTGGCCAAAAGTCCATTATGACCTTTATATTAGATATCCGGGGTCCTTAAAAAACAAATTAGTTAAAGATCTCTATAACAATTGGATTTGTAACGAATGGATTTTAAGTTTTATAGATGCTGGAAGAATTCTTGAAAATCCAAGTATAATGCATATCATGACAACAAATAATTACACGGAAAGACTAAATCGTACAATTGAGTCTCAATATAGTGGTACAAGAACAGTTGTCAATTTTATTGAACGATTGTATGGCATTCAATTACTTCGAGAAAATTTAACAGATAAATGCGGCAATTTAAGGTTTGAAGCTGGACTTGCAACAATATTTGATATGCAAACAATTGAACAGGTATTGTCATCACTACATTTTATATTTATTTATTTATTTATTATAAAAATAGTTCTTTTTTAATAGGAATCACAAGCTACGCATATCGCATCAGATAAATTGCGCAGAATAAATCATGGAAGATTATTATTTCTGTTGGATTACGTTAAATGCACTGGTATTGATGATTATTTTTATGTAAAAAAGGGAAATAATCCATTTGCATTAGAATCTCCATATAACAATGAATTAATTTGGCTGGATAAGTATAATTTAAACTTGCTTATTCTGTTGCATAACAAGCTAATGGAACAGCACTTAAACAAGATCCCAAATTATTTGGAACATTCCGAATATTATTTAATCAATATAAAAACAGGAGAATGTACATGTTTTGATTATGTATGGAATGGTCCATTCAGAGATGTCTGCAAACACTGTCATGCAGTGTCAATTTTTAAAGAATCAATTGGAGTTTCGGATCTATTATTGTTTAAGCAAGAAGTTAAAAAGGAGTTGGTACAATATTTTAAAAATAAGCAAAGAGTATTACCCGCAGAATCAAAAAATCTAGTGATATATAATGGTAATGTTGAAGCTGCTTATTCAGAAATAATTGATTTATATAAAACTCATGGTAGTATTTTAAAAAGAATTTAAGCTTAGTAGTTCTAATGAATTAATCTAGCTAATTTTATTTAGGTATATCGATATTTAAATCATACTCCCGACCAAATGAGAATAATAAAGATCCGTTCCAGCCTGTAAAACTTGATTATCATAAAGGTAATAATGGGGCACCTCTGAAATCATCAGCAAACCCAAGAAAACCAAGTAGGATTCTTAAAACTACTGAACGAAATATTTCACCTTCTGAACAAACAAGAAGCACAAAAAGAATTTGAAAAAATATTCGGGATGCAAAGGTATTATAAATTTATTAAAGTAATTAATTACAAATACGGTTCTTTCTAACGATACTTAATTTAGGAAAACATTAAAAATATCAAAAATCCATATGAACCTTTAACTGCATTACCACTTCAAGACACTCAATCAACAATCATGCAATCTTATTCGCGAAATGACTATATTCAGCCTCACAGGTCGAACAGATGTCATTGTCGCAAAATTTGCCTGGAATTTTTCTGGCAAATTGAGAATTATCCTGGTAAATTGGGGTAAATTGTGTTACAATTTTGGGATAATGGAGGTCTTACAATTTGGCAAATTTTGTCAAAATGGCGGAATTCCTACAGAATTCCTAATTCAAATGTTGAGAAATTTTTCAGTAAATTATCATTAAATTGTGGGAAATTTTAGGCAAATCTTTAGTAATGATATGCAAAAAGTGCAAATTGTGGTGAATTTAGTTAAATTTTTAGTAATTTTATGCAAATGTAATGTAAATTGTGGTGAATTTTAGGCAAATTTTTAGTAATTTTATGCAAATGTAATGCAAATTGTGGTGAATCTGTCTCTTATACACATCTAGATGTGTATAAGAGACAGGTATCTCGCTATCTACTGATCCAATCAAGACGATCTATAGCTCATTGGAATCAGCTCATCAAGACG